ACAGGTCAAGTACTACTACCTGGTGAAGGGACTGCTATAAGAGTGCCAGGTGGCAGCTGGACAAAGCAGCCTTGCAGACTACAGCCAGGATTTCTGCATCTTCTTAGAATCCCCCATGACAGCGCCCCTTACCAGCAGGAAGTGTTTGGAAAGAACGACGCCCAAATTCCCAAATATTGTCTATAAATGTTTGTTTTCATTTAAATGGACTTGGTTATAAAAATAAATAAATAAATAAAAAGAAATCAAATCAACAGAAAAAAAAAAAAAAAAAAAGAATGCCAGGTGGCCCTACAAAACAAAGATACTTACTAACCCTTCTGCAAGATTCCTGTCATCACCTCCTCCGAGGAAGAACAGGGTCTTAGTGACCTCAAATAATCTGTCCTTGAAATTGCTCTACAATAGAAGAAACAACAAATACTCCTACACCGGCAATTCTGACAACAATATGTTGAAGAGCATCAAGCTCTTTGATAAACGTTCCCTGTGCTTTAACGGGAAGGTCCTATTCATAAAGGACGTCATCGGGGATGAAATCTGCTGCAAAAAAAAAAAAAAAAAAAAATCAGAAGTCTGTTGCACATCCATGGTCTATGCCAAGGAGAAGAAGCAGACCAAGGTTGAGTTCCCCGAAGCCCACATTTATGAGGAGACCCTGAACATTTTCCTGTATAAGGCCCAGGACAGCCGAGGACCTGACAGTGCATTCCTGGAGGCCCCAGGTGGGGAGACTAAAAGCTCCCATCACCTGGTTGAGGATGAGCAGCAGAAATGGGAGAAGATTGAACGAGTAGGTAGGATCCACATCAATTGCCCAGATGAACGGGCCCACCTCCACCAGTGAGCAGGCCAGTCAAAGCTGCCCTCCATCCTCTTTCTGCCCCTGCCCCCTCAAACCCTGTGCAGGCTTCGGGGCACGTCCCCCTTTCCCTGGAGTCTGGAGACTTTATAATAAGTCAAATGATTATTGTGATATGTCTTGACAAGGTGGATGTCTTCTGTGTTAACCCAGGTATGCACCCCTTCTGAACAAGATAGCCTAAGGGCTCTGCTTCTCCTGAGAACCCACAGCCGGACTTAGAAAAGTGTGAGTTTGGCGTGCATGCAAGAGTCTTTGTTGCAGTGTTTATTTTAATGGGGGTTGACTACCTATTAGGGCTTCTTAAGTGACACTCCTTCAAGGGCTCTTTGACAGTTCTGAGAGGATTTGTGGGCAGCAACCAGCCAACCAAGATGCCCGGGAGCAGCCTGGCCCCTGTGTGTTCTGACCAGGCTGGGAGTCTGTTCCGTACACGGCTTTGTGACTAGTCCTGATTGGCCAATAGTTTCAGCCTGTAGTAGAGGACAGGGGTCTTCGTGCGCTGCCAGCAAGGAGCAGACCACTTCCTGGCAGTGGGCTCTGCTGTCATCCGTGTCGTTCTCGTCGTCGCTGGGCTTGTTGACACGCCCCATCCCAGGTCACCTAAACACTTGCAGCTACTGCTCCAGACTGCTGGCTTAAGGGTCTGCTCCCTGTGAGGCCTCCTCTCCTTAAGTAGGCGCCATGCCCTTGCTTAGGAACTGTGTGGACCCAGATATGGATATCGCTAGGAGCTTGCAGACTGTCTCGGGGCATTTGCCTGCTATCTCCTATAGCTCCTGTCAGTTTTTATTTCTCTGCAGAATACAGTGGATGTGCAGATACTCTTGATGCCTGTTTGTGTTCGAGAACATGTGTTACTGCTGGTAAGGACGTGTGACTGAGGAGCACGGGTGTGTGAGGAGGACATGCCAGCTACCCCTAGTCCTCTCCATGCCTGTGAAGATGCGTCTTGACGGACATGGGTGGTTGTGAGTACACTAGTTACAAGGTAAGGCGAGTACTACTTTTTAGACCAAAGGTACGAAGTGGGTAATCTCTGACATGTGTCTAATGTTTCCATTTTGTGACAGTTTTTACAGCTCACTTTGTGCATAGCAGTCATATACCTTTATCTTGTATCTGGCAGCAAAACCAACAATAAATAAACAATCCCTACTGGGTGGAGGAACCGTGTACTAGGTAGACGCTTTTTTACACAGAGGTGTGGTGAAACTTTTGTTTTTCGAGCCAAGAAAGGGAGCTTACAAATAATATTTCATATGTTTTTTTCTTATTCTATATATCAATCCCAGTTCCCTCTTCCTCCCTCCCTTGTGAGTTTTTATAGTTTCAAAAGTCAGCCCTGTCCTGTGGGTTCAGCTTTTTTAGGGAGTAAAAGTGGATGTTGAGTCCTGATGTTTTCTCTAGGAATGGAGAAGCCGTTGTGTACACTGTTTAAATGCCGGTGTGCATAATGAGTTAGTGGCCCAATTGACTCACCGTAGCCCCTGAACCTTATGGTGACTCTTTTGGCAGCCTTCTTTCTCGAACCTTGTGCCTACAGCTTTGCACCTCAGCTCCCAGTGATGGGAACATGCCTTGCAAACATTCCATGGTGCCTGATACCACCAGCAGCCTTGAAAACTAGGAAAACTAGGTCTGTTGTTCCAAAGCTCTGCTTCTAGATTTCCTGGGCTAGCATGAAGGGCAGTAGGCAGAATTTCTAGATCAGAGCTATCCAGTGAATCACTGGTATTGGGTCTGCTATAAGGAGTGGCGTTTTTTCGCACACTAATGGCTCACAATTAAAATGAATTGGAATAGTTTTTTTCCATGGCAACCAAATTCAGTGTTTGTGGTGACTGGGGTCCACACCCCCCAGCAGGTCCTGGCACAGCCTCCCGTTGCCTTCCTATGGAAGAAGAGCTGCTTGATTTTTCTAAGCCATGGTCCCATTTAGATGCAACCTCCATACCTGTTGCTCACTGCTGGTACTCAGCCTTCCCCCAGGGTGCATGCCATCTAGAGGGCTCCACCCAAAGTCATTGGTCACCTTAGCATATCACTAACCTGCAGTCTGCGCTGTGTAAACAATGCTGGGAGTTTAGACATGATCACTATTGTAAAATTGTCTGTGGATACATGTAAAATAAGACTTCAACTGGGCTGAGAGAGAGAGAGAGAGAGAGAGAGAGAGAGAGAGAGAGATCACAGGGCAGGTCTGCTTCAAGCCCTCTATATTTATAGGATAACTTTTAGATCAGCACTTTAATGGGATTCTGGGATGCAAAAACACTTGAGTTCTAATTCTGGTGCCTTCTCTTGAGGGTCCATTGTTTTTCTGCTATTGTGTCTTCTACGGTTTTGATATGATGGTTTTGTTTTATCTTATTATGTTTTATTTTGTTATGTTTTGCTGTTATCAGTCAGTGGTCTGCTCTTTGGGACTGGATATAGATGGGAGAGAAGGTGAATGTATCCAAAAGAAGTAACATGAGAGCAAAACTCAGGTATGAGGGGGAATAAAATCTGTGTTTAATAACAGGGAAAAGAAGAAAAATACCATTTAACATAATTGAAGATTACCTTATCAGCATTTGTTTTTAATTGATTTTGGTACGAGGTGAAATACAGGAGTCACAATTTTTGTACCACATGGCAAGAGGAGATAATTATCATTACAGACTTTGTTGAAACTGTTGCGGTTTGCTTAAGAACAGCAAAGCAGTGTTTTCATATGGGACAACTAAAATTAAATTACCTAGGAATCACCACTGAAGATTTTCTTCTGTTCCTGGTGCAAACAAGAGCAGCTGTCATCAGATATGAGCACCAGAAACACAAGTTTATGGTCAGCCATGGTTTTAGTTTGCCTCAGTTTGAGTGCAGTATCCGAAAAGTGTCTGTGTAGCAGTAGCCCATCAGCAAAGACTCCTTTATAGGATAAAAACACAAGAAAGTCAGCCTTATTGGCAGCAATTTCCTGGTTTCCTTGAACATTATCTTGCAAAGACAAAACTACAGTATGAAAGTGGAAGACTACAATGAGCCAAAACAACATGATCAGATCATGTGGGCCGCTAATAACATCCCGTTAACAAAACTACCATCCTCACTTTGGATAGTCTTAGGAACACAAGATCCTAAATCTTTAACTTTGTTTAACGATTTCTTATAATGATAGTTGAATAAACCTTGGAAGGCAAAAAATAATTATATTTTGCATAGTTATAATCAAGTTAGAAAAAAAAATGTTTTCTTAACCATACAAGGTTTCCCATAGAAGGGGAAAGACACCTGACCAAATTTGGAGCATGGGGGAGGGGGAGCTAGGTACTAGAAAGAGGAGGGAGGAGTGGGGAGGAGAACATGAGGGATCAGGAAGATCAACTTGCAAGAAGAATAGAGAAGGAAAGCAAGAAAATGTATACCTTAATATAGGGAGCCATTATAGATTTAAAGAGAAATCTGGCACTAGGGAAATGTCAAAATATCCTAAAGGATGACTCCAACCAAGAATAGAAGCAAGGGTGGAGAGGCTACCTTAAATGCCCTTCCCCTATAATAAGATTGATGACTACCTGAAATGCCATCCAAGAGCCTTTGTCCAGTAGCTGCTGGAAGAGGAAGCAGAGATTCATAGCCAAGCACTGAGCCAAACTCTTGGAATCCAATTGTAGAGAGGGAAGAGAGTCATGAGCAAAGGGGTAAACACAATGCTGGAGAAACCCCCCAAAACAGCTGTCCTTAGCAAGTAGAAGTTATTGGACTGCAGTATGACAGCTGGAGAACGAGCATAGCAATGAACCAGACACCCAGAAAGTGGATGTCAGTTGGGAGACCTGGGCTACTATGGGGCATCTGCCAGTGGAACCACAATTTATCCATAGTATGTGTACTATAGGAGCCCATACTTTCAGACTAGATACAAAGTGGAGGGCCTAAGTCCTGCCCCAAATGATCTGTCAGACTTTAATAATCCCTCATGGGAAGCCTCACCCTCGCTGGAGAGTGGATAGGGTGTGGGATGTGGGGTTGGTGGGGTGCATGAAAAGATGGTAAGGAACGGGAACTAGGATTGGTATATAAAATAAGATTGTTTTAATTCAAATAAAAATTTTATTTTTAAAATTACTCATACTTTGCATAGTTATAATTAAATCAGGAAAAAGAAAACTTTTCTTAACCATACAAAATTAAATATGGACAAAACTGAGTGATGTCTTATAAGAACAAAGGGTCCAAAACAGGGAAAACAAAGAGAAGTGAAGCGAGAGATGTACACGAGCCACCAATTGTTGTTATACAGAAAGGCAATGCATCCTCGCAAGACGGTAGAGAGAGTATAGAAAGCCAGAAAGGTGGACACCAGCCCCAGGATGTTCTGGGTGGCTCTGGACTCAGGGGAGGGTCTACTGGAACCATGAGAGCTACGGATGTGTTGAACATTCCGCTTGTGTTTGTACAGGATGGCGATCATGAAGGCGCTGAACCAGGTAATGAGCACAGCCAAAAAGAATTCAGGGCACAATACCAACGCTGTATAGAGTGAGTCTATGATTTCATCCCTTCCTAAAGTAGAGCAATATCCAAAATCTCGACTTCTTGTCATGTTTTTGCCATTCATTTTGATAAATGTGTACACCAACATTATGAAACGTATCAACATGGGGAAGACCCAGAGTAGGGAAAGAGAGCCAGGAATGTACTTTGTAGCTTTGACTTTATGATCCATGAAACATGACTTCCTGGAACTGATTGTCATTGCCTGGAAGACACTCAAAAGACAGGTGGCACCAATGGACACATTTCGAGCAAATCCTTGAATGTACAATAGGAACAAACATCCAAAATCATTCAAGAAATGCTTGAATCCCCAAATTGCCATGGTTTGGGGCACTCCTGAAGAGAGAATGACCAAAGCATTGGCTGCCATTAGGTGCATGAGAATCAAATCTGTGGGCTTTAATGTGATTTCTCTACAGCAAACAAATAGATAGTACAGCAAAACAGAGAAATTTCCAAGAATTCCAGTTGTAGTTTGTGTTAAGATAATTATTCTGATTGCCAGATTCCAGATATTCATTCTGTGTTTCAACACAATTTTCTTAAGAACATGGTCATACTATCTCTCAGATCAAATGAATAATGGCAAATGATGGTAGCCAGGGGTGAAGGAATTGTGTCATTAATACATAGAGCTACAGAGTTGCTGGAGCTGAGGGTCCTTTAATCTCAGTAGTTCAAAGCCAGCCTTGAACACATGAAAATACTTCAACCCCCAAACTTTGTTAGTAGTAACTATTTTCCATGTTGGTTACCATGCAGTTTCTCCATACTTCAGAATGCAAGTGTTGATGAAAGGACAGACTTCGCATTTCCTAGGAAATGCAACACTCGGGATGATGGGATACTGGATCCATCTTCAGTTTAACCTGACATTAACCCTCTGTTAACCTTTTTTCTATCCACTCTGTGAAAAATCACTTGGGAAAGCACCAAACACTCTTCTAGATGGCAGGGGTGGAATTTCCCTAGCTAACTACAGCTTTTTGGAGTTTGTAAACTTGCTTCGTTGCCTTTCCCCCCTGCCAATTGCTAAACAGACTTTTTATTTTCTGGATTCTTTACCCTTACTTGCTCCATATAAAGTACATCCCAGGGTGCTCTGTGAGAAGTGTTTCTCTTCATAGGCAGTCAGCAATGCTGTTCAATATAACTCTAAATATGGGCTTAGGTCATCCTCTGTGGTCTTTATGTCTTTATCCCAGTACAATCTTAGATAAGAGAGAAATATTAAAAGCACAAATATTTTAGAATGGTGATTTAAGTGACACATTATGTCATATTGAGTTATGAGCTAGCACTTATGAAAAATCACACACACACACACACACACACACACACACACATGAGCACACTCATGTTAGGACTGTTAGAGAAAGGGGAACAACTGATGTGGGGAAATGTCAAAATGCAGAATATAATAAGAAAAGCAAAATATGGTAGGAGAAATAGCAAGAAGGATAGTATCTGATGAGTGATAGCAACTGCAGAAATGTTCAGCGTTTCTATTGAAACTCTATCTGAGATAATCAGGCACCACTCAGAAATCTAGTGTGGGAATAACAGGAAAGATGGCACTAGGTATAACAGCCCATCAGTATGGTGAAGATGAAGAAATCTCTTAGGACACCACACTCTATTCTCATGAGAGTTGTCTGCGAACACTTCTTAAATTGTATCATATTCCCTTGCAGATTCACACAACATAGCTTTTGAATCAGCACATAGCTGAAGAAAGATAATCTAGAGAGATCACTGTTGCCCCTCACACTCATCAGGGACAGTCAGCTGTCAATCAAGTGCTGGGGTAGAATTGGTAATAAATGAGGATCTTAACATGTTCATACAGAGTGTAGAAATGAACTGAGACCTTTGGAACTACCAATTATAGGTTCCCCCTTCCCCTTTCCTGTAACACATCCTAGGAAATGGCTGCAGCAGTAATAGAAAAGACTCTATGACTTGATATAATACATGCCCAGCAAGAAAGATACCACTGGTCCAAGTGTGACATCATAGCTTCTAATCATTAGAAAAGTTGCTTATGTGGGAGTGAGTGTGAGTAGTGCCCAGGAGACTTAGAAGGGGCCAATAAGAATAACACAGAGGGATTAGGAGGATAAGACGATATATAAGTTTGAAAGTGAAAGAAGGAATGTGTTCATGTGATAGTATAAACTGGGATGAGGGAAGAGACGTGTGGGAAGCAGAGGAGTTGAACCTAACAAAATAGTAAGTATGAAAATGCCCTAAGAAAACTGGCTAAATTGTAAGCTAAAGACATAAAAAGCAACCCCCCCAAAAAAATAAAAATCAATACAAAGTAAAGAAAGACAATGTTTATAATATCAAATTAGTATATGCCTATAGAAAAACTAGAAATTCTGTGGCCTTCAAATATCTGTGAATGCAACTACAAAGGTTGGAAAAAGGGTCACATCTGCTTAAATGGGGCTAACATAACCATACACACCAACAGTCAAACTTTAAAAGTTTTTTTCCAACATTCTGTTCTGTACTCAACTATTCTGAGACGAAGCATTGGTATAATTACAATTAAATTATCATTATAGAAGGTAAGTATTTTTATAAGCTGGAGTTACATCTCTTTAATTTTTGAAATAAATATAATTTCATCCTTGTGTAGTTTTCTCCCCACAAAAACCCTCCTTCACAAATTCATGGCTTCATGCCTCTTTCTTTTATTATTGCTATGTGTATATGCATACACATCTATGTTTTCATGCTGTTACATATGCAAATGCACAGATATATATGTATTTACGTGTAAAATCTGATCAGTCTCTGTAATAGTATTTGTATATCCATGATTGCATCATTCACAGTTTGGTGCTGGCTGATCAATAAGGGCCTATTTTCTTCTACTCAAAACAATCCTTCATTACTTGTAACTTTAACTACTAACAGAAAATGCTTTCCAACAAAAAAGAAGCTGATCACTGGGGGTGGGGGGGGGAAATACTCATTTAATAAAAAGGTAGGAAACAGAGCGGCATGAGTGATCAAATGTAAAAAGCAACTGATTGTGTTGCGCCAAGTCAAAACTGTGCACGCACAATGCAATTCCTGCACTAGAGGATCCAGGAACACTGTGGGAGAGGAGGCAGAAATATTTTAAGAATTAGAGTAAGTTGTGTCTATAGAGAGACTGGATTTCCTAAAATGCTGGGAAAGCTTTACCCACGAAGTCTCAACATCACTGTTTAAACAAATTTGAATATTAACACCAACAGACATGCTTAAATGGAAGAGGGAAATCCCAGAAGGCCCCAGTAACCCCCACTTTTAAGAATAACCACACAAATGAGCCTTGTTTTATATTATCCGTTAACAATCATGAAAACATTCACCTGCAATTTACACAGATATACCCAATAACAGGCTATTATAAATTAACTAGTGGGCACAAAATATAACTCTAAATGACAAGTGAAGCCCTGGGAGATTCCATATCATCTAAGCTATGAGGCCAGTGTATAACTGTTGTGGCCAGGATGGTCGGAAATTGCAGAGAATCCCATTTTCCAGGGGCCATGCAGCCACCATAAGCAATTTGTGTATCAAAGGCTGTAGAGGATGAAGGAACTATGTGGAGATTTTGGTGTGTTGGAGGAACACGCCATGTCTCATAGCAGGCAGGTACATGAGAATTAGCAACATTGATACCAGACAAACATCAGAACAATGTGGACCGTAATCATGAGTAGGTGACTAAGCAACATCAAAACACGACATAAAACCCAACCTCAGTGACACAAGGGCTACAAACACCTTGAATAAAAATATTGAGAAACTTCTCAGGATGTCATGAGAAGCATGCAGCTGTGCAGCTGAGGTTGAGATAAAGCATTCAACCAAAGACATATGAGGATATTGTTTGCCTTTAGTACATAAAAATGGGTGTTGGTTACAGGAGGAGGCAAAGGAAGAAGCATACTCCAGAGGTCTCTGGAGGCTGAGTTACTATGGAGAGGATGGAGGAATCAACCAAAAGTGATGAATGAGGTTGTCTCTACTCCAGCACATGTGAGCCATGGGGATTAAGAAGTTTATGATACTGAGATTTCCTAGAGATTGAAACAAACAAAAACCTTTAGAAATTGATGGCTGAAAAAACACAAAGATTGCGAGACATACAAAATATTGAGAAGAATCATGTTTGGACAAAAGAAAATATGACAATGAGTGTAAGCAAAAGCAGATAAATAAAAAAACACCCTAGAGTCAAAAGACAGAGTTAGACAAAGTATTCTGAGACTTCAACAACATACCAAATACTACCACTAAAAGCAATGGACCCTGAGGATCTAGGTCACAGACATTTTACAAGTCAGCATAGTGTTGTCACTTCTCAAAATCTGAGTCCTCTCCTGTAGAATTACACAACAAGTTGTAAGTAAAAAAAAAATATGCCTTGAATATGGTCTTCCTGTTGCAAATATTACTAAATGATACAAAATCATCCCACACTGGTTGTTTTCCTTCTATCTGGCCTTCTGAGGAGTTGCTCTAGTGTTTTCCTACCTATAAATAATTTTGCAAATATTTTGAAATATTGCACATAGCAGTGGTTGGGAAGACAATAATGCATTCCAAAATTCATATGTACAAAGAAAGCTTAAAATGTACAGACACACACAAGGAAAATATGCTATAATCTCTTAAATGTTAACAAAATGTCTGCTCCCTGCAAAAACAAAACATAGAGTCAGATTTTGTTAAATTAGTAAAAAGAAATTGTTGAGAATCTAACTATATTGTTTTGTTGTATCTATTGAATTCCAAGATGTGCTCTATGACTAAAAATACTCAAGATATTGGGTTATTATCTTTGTTTCATTAGTTCAAAAATTACATGCTGAACAAATAGGATAAAATAACAAAAGGTACAGAGAAAAAATGAAAGAGAATGTATGCACACAGAGAATGATTTCCTTAAGTTTTATTTCATGAATGAAGCAGGTGTAAGTACATTAAGCTTATATAATCACAATTTGAGACCATAATCCAAAAAAATACCATTAGATAGTTGGGAACACTGAAGCTCACTGAGGTATGAATTCACAGAAAGGATCTCAGAACGTTATCACAAACATGTTCTTTATGGTTTTGCTGCCCCATCTGTCAATCATAAAGTAGAAAATATGACAACTAGAATGCACCCTTGCAAACAATTAACATGGGAAAACACAATGGTTTTGGAAATGTGGTTTTCCAATTGTTTCTTTGTGTTTTGTTTTGTTTTGTTTTGAGAGATAGACTCTCAATATATTTCTGACATGTGCTATGTAGGCCATGCTAATATCAACATCACAGGGATCCTCCTGCCTGAATCACCGGATTGTTGGGACTAAAGACATACATCAGAACAACAAGCTCACTGGATACTATTTGAAGTACTATATACATATCATTTTCCTAGATGTAGGTTATGATATCAATCAGCATATCCACTGCCTAACATGGAGCAAGTAAAAACCAAATATCTATGTAAGTTGTTTATTAATT